CAGCCACTATGATCACTTTGATACATATTTCATAGACCTTTTCTGTGCATTTTAATATGGCACTTATTTAAAAAATTGAAATTATATTTATATATTTGTATCTGTGCCTTGCTTTCTTCCAACAACATGTATTGGAGATTTTTCCATGCTAGAATACTAAGACCTACCTCTTTATTTTCATTTGCTTCAAAGCATTCCATAATATGGTTATGCCATATTGAAGCCGTTTTTCTCCTGTTGGACATTTAGCTTGTTGCACACTTTTCTCAGTTACAGCAACGCAGCAGTGAACATATTTAGCCATGACCGCAAAGTGCACATGAGCCAGTGCTTGGGCAATGGTTGTTAAAGTGTGCCTCCCAGACCAGCAGCTTCAGCATCACAGGAGAACTTGGTAAAGATGCAAATTCTTAGCCTCCTCTCCTCTCCTCTTAGCCTCCTCTCCTACTAACTCTGAAACTCTGAGGGTGGGGCCCAGCCATCTCTTTCAATAAGCCACCTATTTCATCTAGGTGATCCTGATGCATGATGAAACTTGAGAACCACTGGCAGGAATGTATATGTGTCCATATACACATAGATGCATACATGTACATATACATTAGTTCTATAATGTGACCTGTGTGTTCCTAAGCATTGCTGTGTTATGCAAGATTGTGCAATAAAAGCCACAGGCTTATGGGAGAAGTGGGGTTAGGGACACAACAATCAAAAACGTTGTCAGTGGGTCACCTGGGTGGCTCAGTCAGTTGAGTGTCCAACTCTGGATTTCTGCTCAGGTCATGATCCCAGGATTATGGGATCGAGCCTCACGTTGGGCTCTGCGCTGAGCATGCAGTGTGCTGAAGATTCTTTCTCTCCCTCTTCCTCTCTCACCCGCTCGCACGCGTATTGTCTCTAAAAATTAAATTACAAAATAAAAATAAAACATTATCGGTGACACAGGAAAACAAAAGCCAGGATCCTAATAAAAATGATAGCACAGACTAGAATTCAAATAAAAATTTGGAAGAAAAAAAGGATAGCACAGTCTTAAACATGTTGAGCAAATACATAAAACTACAGCACATACGGCATTTTTCCCCTGAAAAGACCTGAAGTTTGCTTGTGGAAGCGGGTGCTGGAGGGCTTCGCAGTGTGTGAAGGAGGGTGATGTGAAGTTGGAAGGGAAATTTTAACACCAGGTGTGGGTGGCTGTGGCTTCTAACACACGCGGTGAACCGCGGTAACTGGTCCAGGTTGAGATGTGTGCGTTTTGTGTATTCCTGTGTGGTTTGGTTCATTTGATGAGTTTTTCTGCTTTCACTTAGCATTTCTTGAGCACGAAATTGCGCATAAGCAAATGTGAAATTGGAGTTACGCCCCAGTGTTTTGTCCCAATATATCAATGACCTTGGATCAAATTTGCCTTTTCAGTGTAAGTGTTATAGCAGAACTATATATAAATATATGTATATCTTTCACATAGAAGGGCCACATACACAACCGAATGCTGGTTTTCCACTTACTATTTCTTTCACTTAATAATATCTTTTAGATACTTTTTCCAATGTCAGCATGTAGTCACTCATTTTTGAAAATGGCATTTACAGCCTTAGGAGATGACTAAACTGCTCATCAAAATGCTTGCAACAGTTGGCTCTCACACCAACATGCATCCCACACCCTGGCCAGGATTACCTGTTATCACACTTTTTGGTTTTTGCCGATCTGCTAGTTATACGTCTTTTTCCTTCTTCTCCCTCTCTCTCTCCTCTCATAGGTATATCTATATATGTTTGTATGTATGCATAATGTGTCTGGACGTGATACGTGTGTAGGCATATGTATATGTACATACACACACGGACATTATGAGAAGTGCCTCCCGTAAATATACTGATAGAGAAAAGGAGCTTTGAAAGTGTAAAACAGGTAGTGAAGTGGTGCTGAGATGGGGAAAAAAGTAAATAAAATGGATTTGCAAAAGAAACAAAAAACAAAAGCCTATTAAAAAGGGAGAGAAGAGAAAAGCATTTTCTTTCTGTTTAATTATTTTTTACTTTTACCTTTGCTAACTACAACTTCCCACCTCGTGAGATAAGATACGAGTTCGCTCTGTGCGGCTTTGATCTGTCGCTGGAGCCAGTCGACACCTCCAAAACTGTAGCTTCCACTGTTAATCCGTTCACTTCAGTGAAGCAGCCCTGAGGGCAGCCCTGTTGGTCAGCATAGGGTCCCCTGTCCCCGACAAGCCGAGAGGACATCTGCTCAGAGGAGCATGATGGCCGTGGCCTGCTGGTCTGGGGCCACTCGCAGCAAAAGCCGCAGAAATGGAGGCGCACGCAGGTGTCACATGTCAGATGTCTTCCTGTGAAGAGGTTGGCAGTGGACAGAATTGCTTCCAGCTGGGCACAGTACCAGGCAGGAAAGTCATAATGGTTTCCTAATTAGATCATATTGGTTTATGATCATTGTTCCTATTAGGAGATATCATTGCTTTAAAAAAATTTTTTTGAATGTTTATTTATTTTTGAGAGAAAGAGCAAGAGAGAGAAAGCGTGAGCAGGGGAGGGCCAGAAGGAGCTGGAGCGGGGAGGAAGACACAGAATCCAAGCAGGCTCCAGGCTCCGAGCTGTCAGCACAGAGCCTGACGCAGGGCTCGAACTCACGAGCTGTGAGATCATGACCTGAGGCGAAGTCGGACACTCAACAGACTGAGCCACCCAGGCACCCCATCGTTGCTTTTTGATGATTTACAGTGGGAGACGAGACTTTCAAATGAACACCGTGATTTGCATATATATGTAATATATATTTGCATGTATATCTCCAACTCAGAATGACTTACTGAAAGTAATCACCAGAAAAGAGGGTGGGATATTCATGTAAAGATGCAAAAAGAAATTTAAGGAAATGTAAAAATTAGGAAGATTAATATGATGTCACCCCTTCAAAGTCAGATGCATTTTCCTTTATATGAAAGCTGCAGGAAGAGGGAGAACTGCTAGCTGGATCCATCTCTGTTTGGCAGTGAGGTTTTTGGACCTTGAAATCTCAAACTGATATTAAGAAAACAGAAAGAATAGTTAACATTTATAATAACAATTATAATGAGGTTAACATTTCACTTCTGAATTAAGAACTTGTTTTCTTGCCCTCACTTTGTGTAGTGTCCTTTCATGATGGGGAGGTAGACAGAATGTTGAGAGGGAGAGAGTGAAGAGAAAACATTGTATTTATTTATTTTTTTAATGTTTGTTTGAGAGAGAGCATGTGTGGGAGAGGGGCAGAAAGAGAGGGAGAGACAAAGAGAATCCCAAGCAGGCTCCATACTGTCAGCGCAGAGTCTGACACGGGGCTCAATCCCATGAACCATGAGCTCATGACCTGATCAGAAATCAAGACTCAAATAAATGCTTAACCGGCTGAGCCACCCAGGTGCCCTGAAAACATTTTAACTCATAAAAGAGCTTTCGGTCTCAAAGGGGGACGAAAGCAGTGGCTCTGCAACAGCCAAGGACATTGCAGAAGGCAGAGCTCTCTCCCTCTCCATCTCGCTCTCTCCCTCTCCATCTCTCTCTCTCTCTCTCTCTCTCTCCCCCCCTCCCTCCCTCCCCCTCTCCCTCCCTCCCCCTCTCCCTCTCCCTCTCCCCCCCTCTCTCCCCCTCCTTCCGTGTGTGTGTGTGTGTGTGTGTGTGTGTGTGTGTGTGTGTGTGTCTTTTGTTACTATTCTTTGCATTTCCGATAGTTACGACTTACAGGTGCAGCTCATAGCATCAGCCCAGGGTGATAAATTTAGTGGAGAGTTGGAATCGCAAAGCAAGGCATTTCTCACACTCATTTGCACAAAGCCAGATGCGTGGCTTGTACGACCCACTGCAAATTGAAAATATGGGGGCCCCTGTTCAGAAAGCTGGAAAAGAGGTGCCATTAAGGGTGCTCAAGTATGAAGCTTTATCCTGCATTTTGTGGCTTCTTTTTCTCTAGACTTGCCCTGTTTTATTTGCTATTCAATGCCATTGTAAGTTGTAAGAAAAATAAATGTTTTAAGTCATCAGCATATTTTTACTGTTCACCTTTATATTGTGCAATGCCCATTTTAAATGAAAATATAAGAGCTTTTAACTTGCATGTGCGATCACTAAAATTACGCAGTTTCTATTTTGCAGCTTATACACGCATAGGTATTCTGTTCTTGCCATAACAATGGAAATGCTGCACAAAACTGATCCCACCTGTTTTTATGTCATTTCTTAATACACATGGATTCTCCTAACACTCTCCACCTTCAGTTTACTCATGAGCAAGGAAGGACTAAAAAAGGAAAAGACACTATGGGTCGCCCTGTCTTTCCCTTTCCTTGTATGTCATTTTCAGTGTATGTGATTGGTTAATACAGGGAAGTAACAAAAGTAAGAAAGGATCTGATAGAGTTCCCTGATCATTCATGTTTCTTAGAGTGCTGCTGCCTTTTTTTTAGTGATCAAAGCAAATCCTGGTTCCAATAGAAAGAGCCCTCTTGGGGCTGTCAGAGCTCCCATCTACTCAGTCCTGGATGTATTATGCTTACCTTGTACTCACTTTGAGTCTCACGGAATCCCCCCACATTGTGGGTCTCCTGGGAGTTCCGTGCTCCTGGGAATCCTCAAGAATGCTGTGTGCAAATGGGGCCCACAGGTTGAGTGTCCATGTAGCTGGCCCTTCCTGTATCAGGGGAAGCTGCTGGACTGCCAGAAGCCTTCTGCACATGCTATGGAGGAACCCAGTTCACGGCAGGGTGGACAATGCCAATAGCGTATTCATGCAAAGTAGTTTCCTTGAAACTATTGTGATGCACTTGTTTCAAACTCTGTTGAATTCATATCATTTTAGAAACAGTGAATCTCTTGAGTGCTCCCAGCTTCATGAGGAGTACCTTTCAGATGGGCCTTTGAGACTTTCAGGCTGAAGCTTGAACCAAGTACTCATCGTCAAATCAATTTCTATATCTCTTAAAATTTTGTCTGTCTTTCTCCCAGGATTTCCAGCAGGAGAGCTGCAGAAGCCTTTTTTTTGGGGAACGGAATATCCTCGGTAGGTAAATTAATGAAAAAACCAGTTATTGACAAGTAAGGAGGAACATGCTGCTTTGGCTGAGAGTAGAATATAAAGTCACAAAAACAAAAACCAATGCCAGTGGTTGTTCAGCAATAGGAGAGCATGGAACCTGGTGTGGGTCAGTCGTACTTTCCTCATTTTAGGAATTTTTTTCCTGATTCTTTTTACCAGGGTGTGTGACTGGACAGCAAAGGCAGAGTCCACACAGGGAACTTTAACCTTTGTGCATTTATTCACTCATGCATTGACTTATAGGACAAATATGTGGACCTCAAAGGATTGTTGGGATTTGAGTTGATGGTGATGGGTCTAAAACCATGGAAGAAATGGAAGAAATAATGTGAGAAAAGAAAAGTACCTATAGAAAGCAAAGATTTTGTTTGGTTGGTCCAATTAGTATACAAAGGGAAATAGTGGAAAGGGCATCTACAAAAGAAGGTTGATGTTTTATATTGGAAAGCTCTAAGTGCCAGGTAAGGAGCCGTCATTAATGAGCAATAGAAAATATTGAAGTTTTTGAACAGGTAAAGATTATCAAATTTGTCTTTAAAAATAAAACTTTGGTAGTTATACAATAGGCCAAAAACTGATACTCTCTGAAGTTAGAGATATTGAAGGTCATTAAGATCAACAGATGGTAATTCACAATTTACATATAGTGAGAAGTCTGATAATAATCATTGTTGGTAATATTACCACTTTTATTATGTGCCTTTCTTTGTTCTGGTGGTTTAATACACAGAAAATTTAGTCTTGATTGTAGACATTTAGTGTTTTCTGTCTTGGTTTGAATAAATGACAATTTAAATATTATTTGTAGGTTAAAAACATAGGGGATCACATACATATAAAAATAAGAGAAATATGGTAGCAATGTTTTGATTTGTGCTTCCTCAAAAGCAGATCCTGTGACAAGGATTTGAGTTCAAGGAGTTGTTATGGGAGGTGACACCAGGAAACAGTGGCGGAGGAGTGGAGAAGTGAGACAGGGTGGGAAGGAAGCCAATAATGAATGTTTTAGGAGTTTACTGTGGCTGACATATTTTTCCCAAACTTACTGGCTTATAGTTCTGTAGGTCAGAAGTCCAACCCTGGTCCCACTGGGCTAAACAACAGGTGTTGGCAGGGCTGTATTCCTTTCTGGAAGCTCTAGGGAAGAATCTTTTTTCTTGCCTTTTCTAGCTTTTAGAGTCAGCCCACATTCCTTGGCTCATGGCCCCTTCCTCTGTCTTCCAAACTAGCAGAGTTGCATTTCTGTGACTGTTGATTCATATTCACATCTCTTTCTGACTCTCCTCTTCTGCCTTCTCCTCTACTTTGAAGGACCCTTGTGATTATATTGGCTGCTCCCAGATAATCTAGGACACTCTACATATTTTTCACTCAGCTGATTACCAACCTTAATTCCCCTTTGCTACATAATAACATATTCATGACTTCTGGGGGTTAGCCTGTGGACTTCTTTTGGGAGCCATTGTTCTACCTACCACACATGTGTTACAAAGCCAGTTACCACTGTGACCAGCTGGGGCTCAGCCCTGGCAAGGACCTGTAGAACTTGCTTCAATGTAATCCTACTGCAGGGGCAAGGGAGCTGGGGCATTTATCAACTCCCCTTCCCTCACTGATTTGAGGGCTGCCAACAGCTGTAATAACTCTCTGGCATTGCCCAGTCTAGGCCCAGAGGGCCCTAGTAGCCAGAAAAAGTCCTTAGGCAAGTAGTTTCAGGTGTTGGCAGTTGGAAGCTTTTGGATTGTGTGCTCAAAACTGGTGAGTGGTGAGGAGACAGGAGCAGGCTTCAATAAAGACTACTGTAGGGAAGCACTGCGTTAGGATAAATGAAAATTATTGGTTTGTATTAGCCAAATCCATTAATATCATCCCAGTCCTCAGCTGCATAGTTTTTATTGGTGTTTAGATATTTGGAATCAATTTTCCCTATTATTAAGATTAAAAATTTGCAGATATTTCTATAAAAATAAATATCTAGGCTAAATATTGTCTAAATTCTCTTCAAACTAAAAATGTGCTCAAATTCTTTGATTCTGCTTATCATTAGCAATTTGAGTGCACTTCTCTTATTATTGTTAGGTACCTGGAGACTTGGAAATCATCTGGTTAGGTTTTGAAGTTACTGATTAAGTGAATTTGTTTATTGGGTCTGTGAGCATGGTTTTCTGATATAAAAGTCAAACTCATAGGAACCTGGGAAATAATATTAGTGTCTGTTAGCTCAACCTTATGCTGAGCCATATTTGGTATTTGGGTGGGAGAGAGATTTGTATTTTTTATCCTAAAGAATCTATGTCCTCACTGAAGCCTTCCACCCTGTATTACTATATCTGCTCCGTGAGTAATTATTAAGCGTCTTTTGGGTATTTGGCATTGGAAAGATCGAGATGCTGGAGACATGGGAATCGCAGTCCACTGAGATGGCTTTCCATACATCTGTTTTGGATGGATAGCCTCCAGATTCAGCCAATGGGCATCCTTTGTGTTCACACTGGTCAGCTTTGTTCTTGCCTGAATGTTGGCTCTAATTATGGGGATATCAACAAGCTAAAGTGTTTTTAGAGGAATGAATCAGGACTATCAGTAGCCCAAGACAACATCCCAAAGTGTGTGTTCCACAATGCAGTAATAGAGGTCGGTCATCCTGCCTTTTGTTTTGGAGAATTACAATACTCAGCAGCATAAAAATTTCAAAGAAGTTCCGCAAGAAGGAAACCTATTGAAATGTGTTTAATCCAGCGGTTCCTAAACTCCCCCTTTCCCTATGTTTTGGGAAATGCTGGTCTAGAATCCCTGACTAAAGAAAAGCAATTGAAAGAACTTGAGGACACTGGAGGGGGAACCTTGTAAGTGTCTTTACATTACTGAAGGAGAGTGAAGGTGGTAGACAACTTGCTGTACTCAGGGGGACAGAGGGTATTCAGCTAGAGACTCTACTAGACCAATAGATAGCAGCTGTAGGAAAGATTCCAGTTCAGTGTTAAGGAGAGCTGTTTTATTTAGAACCTCCTGAGGGAACGGTCCCCCTCATGAGCCCCTGCTTATTGGAAATGCCCAAAGAGAAGTCCTGTGACTTTTGGAATGGGACTGTGGACTAGGTAGGCCCTTGCCTCTGATTCAGGCAAAGTGGCCCTTCCTTGTTGACAGCATGAGATCATGGTTGCTCCAGACAGAAGTCTGGCTGTCCTCTTCTTGACAGCAAAATCCAGTGCATGTGTTAAACCCATGGGGCAGTAAGAACAGAAGAGCAACTGAGTAGGTGCAAAAATTGTCATCTTTGCCATTTCATTTTTGGAAGGCTGGAGTTTTCTCTGCAGCAGTCTTCTTGTTTCTGGCTAGCCAGTCACATTTCAAAAAGCATGCGAGTTTACTTATTTATTTTTATGACATGCTAATTATGTCATATGGCCGTTGATAATTATGGCCGTTGATAAAATGGAAGATGTGAACTGAGCATTATGAAATATGATCATTGTAAGGCTCAGTCATAGAGAATTACCTTTTCTTGTCTCCTGTCCAAAGGATCACGATTATGTGACTGAGTATTGGAACTTGGAATAATTCAGTCATTTTCTGAGTTCTCTATTACCCTTTGCAAAGAGGAAGCTCTTTGGAGCAGCCTTTCTTAAGGGACATTTATTGTAGAGCAGTTCCTGTAAGCTTCCATTGTTCATCGCTGAAATTCCTCCGGTCAACAGCATTGACCAAGGGTGGTAGAGGACTGAGTCCTGTTGTCAGGGCTGAGAGGTATGAAAAAACGAAATGTCACAGGCTGCATAGTGACAGCTACTGCTGCAGAAACTAGCACAATGTAAAATTACAAGTTTGTCCCACACTGCCATGATAGCTCCATGATTGAAATGCATAATTTTACTCTTACTTCTTTAATGAAGGTTTGCAATGATGTAAAAACAGTAGGAAGCGTTTTTGTTCAAATGCAAATTACCTTGCAGGAAAGAAATAACAAAGGAAAGAATTGCCACCAAGGGGAAAAATGAAATCTTAAAGCACTTCTTTGGTTATAGTTGAGACAAACAATTAACATGTTAAGGATCATAATGTCCTGTAATAACATGTTGCTTCAAATATTCTCATTCTTTCCACTTATGGGTCCTTTCCATTTGCTGGATGACTTTGATGTTGCATGTCAGGAGGCAACTGCAAAATATTTCCAGCATAATTGCAAATCTCAGAAAGAATCCTCATAACAAGGATTTTAAGTTGTCTTTAATCCTCATCCACGTGGTAAATAACTAAATTACCTGTAGACCTATCACTTGCATGAAATGGTAAAGTTAATTAACCGATTAAATGATTGTTACTTTTTTACTGTATACTAGGTACAGAGAATTGAGTAGTGGATCAAACTGATAAGGGTTTGGCCTTCATGGAACTTAGAGTTGAGAGAGGTCCCAGACACACACACACACACACACACACACACACACACACGCACATGCGCACGCACCTCAGCCTCTCCTTAGAACTTGTTAGAAATGCAAATTTTTGAGTCTTATGGCAGACCTATTGACCCAGAATCCTGGAGGGAGGGGAGGGCACGTGTGTGTGTACACACACACACACACAAACATCCAGAAGCCTCCTTATGGATTTCTTCATATATCATTAATATATTGTTTCAGTTCTCTACTGCTACCTAACAGCACCACGAAACAACCACTGTTGGCTTATGATTCTGCAATTTCCAAATCTGGTTAAGTCTTCATGATCTTTGCCATTCACTCATAAGCTTGTCTTTCACAGAAGCAAGGGAATGTGACTACCTTTGAAAGCAGTGATCTCTTTCAATCTCTGCTCTGTTCCTTTTTTATGATTGCATTTGGGAAACAATTTAACTTCTAAGTCTATAGTGACTTTTCAACAGTTCTCAGATAAAAAATAAATGGTATGTTTACCGACAGGGTCTTGTCAAACCCTGCTGCTGCTTTGGATGTTTATAAATATAAAGTGGCTAGAGCCGATACAGAATCATAGAAACCTTAGGGCTAGAAGGGACTTTAGAAGCCATCTCTTTTGCATCCCTAATTTCATACATGGTCATTGTGGCAGTATTACAATTGATTTTCTTTGCCCATTTCAATGAGAAGGGTGTGTTTAGATTTTTTCTTTTTTTTACAATTTTGAGGGTGTGGTTATAAGTTGCGGTTACTAGAAAACAGATTATCTTGGCTTTTCATTAAGAAAAATCAAACGATTATGCTCTGAGGTTTATGCTTCTAATTTTCTCCAAATTATATATTTATACCATAGATCTCTGAGTTATGGAGCTATAGGAGTAATTGTTGGACATGAATTTACACATGGATTTGATAATAATGGTAAGTACTGATTCATTGTATAAGCGGCTGCTTTTATGATAATGTTGATGATACAGATGTTAATTGTTGCTATTATCTTTGCATAGTGGCATCACCATAGATTGAAGATTATCCAAAGCAGTGTGAGTGCTGATTGAAAAATTTCCCCCATGCCTTGCTGTGATAGCTTGCCATAAATAAATAATTGTTCCCGTTGGTGATGGAATAGCATGAAAAAAAAAAGACCTTGTAATTTCACTGAAATTATCTTTGCATTTAGATCAGGATTGCTGTAGCTGCCATGATAGTTACAGGAATTGCTTCATAGCCTCTCCCCTCTGTCACTTCTTTATTCACCATCTTGAGATGCTCTCCCTGGAGGTGTGAGCTCTGCTCTGAAGATGATTATACATGCTGCCAAGTTAGGATTCAGCCAGTTAGGACTCCAGAGCTTGGCTGCCTGATTCCTTTATACGATTTCAAGGATTATGCAATGCTTAAGCTGTGTTTTTCTCTATGCTGGCATATCTTTAGATTTTTTTAAAAAGGCTATGCTTTCCTAATAATGCAAAATATAGAATATGCTGTGTATCCTGATGAGATTTAAGCACAAGAGCAGAATATGCATAAACTAAAGAAATTATTGCCCCTTGTAGGTTGTCATCATTTGTAATTGGCACTCCTTTCTCCTTTACCTTTGAGCATTATTGGAAAGCCACATGAAACCTCTGAAATTTATGAATTAGTAGCAAATGATAATCGTATCCACATCTGCACAGTGACAGGCAGATGCAAGGAGCCGACTGGCACAAGGCAACATTGTATAGAAAGGACCTTTTTCTTCCATGTCTGTGGTGTCTCCACCATCCTTTCCTGGATGCTGACCGGAAAGCCTGGTTCTCCTTCTGGGCAATTCTTCCTGTGCTCCCACCAACCCTTCCTGAATCATCTAGGGTTTTGGTTCCCCTGGCCTCTCCCTTCCCTGTTAAAATATAGCTACCTTGTGCTCCTCTCAATTTCCGGAGCTACACTTTCTGTCTTTCCATGATTGGTTTATCTAAGAGGAGTGTCTTAGCTAAGAAACATAACCCAGAAGTGATCTCTTGGTTCTGGGCCTTTCTTCCTGGGAAATTTAAGTACAGTTCTCGCTGTGAATCTTTTGGAGGCCTTCTGAAGTCATTCTCCAAGGACATAATCTAATGATGCCAATTTCAGTCTGTAACCAGTACTTAGAACAGAGAGTCACATAGTTAACTACATGCCCTGTAACTGTTTAATGATTGGTTGGATAGTGTGTGGAAGACAACGACTCCGTGCCCTTCCAGGGGTTGGTGGTAATGGCATCCACTCCTGCTGAAGAGCCTTGGATTATTCCAATTAACACCTTTGCTTCTAGGACTTTCTTGTAAGCCCACTGAAGAGTTCTTTGCATAATTAAATTCAAACCAATAGTAATCTTGAGTATGAAGACAGTCTAGATACACTCAGACTTCTTTTGAAGGGTGTAGAGAAAATGAAGAGTGAGCCTATGGCAAAAAAGCATGTATAACTGATCTTTTTTTCCATTATGTTTTGGAGATTTCCATTCTTGTTCCAAGTTCTCTTTTTAGAGCAACCTTCCTTGTCCAAGCAGGACAGATGGGCCTTCAATGCACACTGATGGCTGTGGAATGATTCATAACAGAGGTTTTATGTGTGTCTCGGCTCCTAGCAACTTGGAGGAAACACATTCCTACAGGGTTGAGTCAGGGGCTACGGTCTCCCAGTGTGAATGACTCATTAGACTGTTCCCATGGACTGTTTGGAATTTCACTGGTCCTGGTGCTCCGTCTCCCTTCATGGACTTTCTGAATGAAGCCATTTCGTTTCATAATCCAGAGAACAGTTTGGGTCACATCAGATGAAAACAAAGAATTCAAGATTGGTTCAGAATGTGCATACCATAAGTTGATGAATCTTATTTTTAAAATGTTCTTTTTACTTAGAAAGAACTTCCTCTTTCTCCTTCCCCCCTTTCTACAATTAACCTGTGACACTGGAGAGAAGGTAGGAGCTGCTCCCAGGAGTGCTCCGTGCTACTGGGACTGCTTTCTCAAGGCCTACTGAATGAGGGAAAGGGGAAATGGAGAAATTGGTTTCCATAAATAGTACAAATATCTTTTTTTTCTTTTTATTTAAATTCCAGTTAGTTAACATACATTATAGTATAGTTTCAGGTGTACATCACCAGGTGCTCATCAAGACAAGTGCCCTTCTTAATCCCAATCACCTATTTCACCCCTGCCCCACCTATCTCCCCTCTGGCAACCATCAGTTTGTTCTCTGTAGTTAAGATTCGTCTTGGTGTTTGCTTCTCTCTCTCTTTTATTTCCTTATGATCGTTTGCTTTGTTTCTTAAATTCCACAGACAAGTATTTGTCTTTGTCTGACTGACTTATTTCACTTAGCATTATAATCTCTAGCTCTATCCATGTCATTGCAAATGGCAAGATTTCATTCTTTTTTTTTATGGCCGAATAAGATTCCACTATGTGTATGTGTATTGTGTCTATATCTTTATCTGTCTGTCTGTCTGTCTGTCTTCAGCCATTCATCCATCAGTGGACAATTGGGCTGTTTCCATAATTTGGCTATTGTAGATAATGCTGCTGTAAACATTCAGGTGCATGTGGCCCTTCGAATTAGTATTTTTGTATTCTTTGGGTAGATACCTAGTAGTGCAAT